GGTAAGAGATATGGATCTATTTTCATTCTTCTGCATGTTGACAATCAGTTATGCCAGAACCAGTTGTTAAAGATGCTTTCTTTCTTCCATTGTATACTTTTAGCTCCTTTATTGAAAATCAGGTGTTTATAGGATTGAGGGTTAAAATCTGGGTCTTCGATTCAATTCCATTGGTTGACTTCTCTGTTTTTCTGCCAGTACCAAGCTGTTTTCAATACTGTACCTTTGTAATAGAGTTTGAAGTAAGGGCTGGTAATGACTCCAAAAGTTCCTTTAATGTATATGATTGTTTTGTCTATCCTAGGTTTTTTGTTTTTCCATATAAAGTTGATTATTTTCCTCTCAAGGTCTGTGAAGAATTTTTATGGGACCTTAATGGGGATTGCATTGAATATACAAATTGCCTTTGGTAGAATTGCCATTTTTACTATGTTGATCCTCCCAATCCAAGAGCAAGGGAGATCCTTCCATTTTCTTGTATCCTCTTCAATTTCTTTCTTCAAAGACTTAAAGTTCTTGTCAAATTGTGGAGTAAGGGGTACACTCATCCATTGCTGGTGGGAATGCAAACTTGTACAACCATTTTGGAAATCAATGTGGCAGTTTCTCAGGAAACTTGGGATCCACCTTCCCCAGGACCCAGCAATAACACTCTTGGGAATATACCCAAGAGATGCCCTATCATATTAAAGAAGCATTTGTTCAACTATGTTCATAGCAGTATTATTTGTAATAGCCAGAACCTGGAAACAAACTAGATGCCCTTCAATGAAAGAAAGGATGAAGAAAGTGTGGAATTTATACATATTAGAGTACTACTCAGATGTAAAAAACAATGACATCTTGAATTTTGCATTCAAATGGATGGAAATAGGAAACACTATCCTGAGTGAGGTAACCCAGATCCAAAAAGATGAACATGGGATGTACTTACTCATAATTAGTTTCTAGCCATAAATAAAGGACGTTGAGCCTATAATTTGTGGTCCTAGAGAAGCTAAATAAGAAGGTGAACACAAAGATAAACATATAGTCATCCGTCTGGATATGGGAAGTAGACAAGATTGCCGGGCAAAAATTGGGAACTTGGAGGTGGGTTGTGATGGGGGTAAGTGGAAATAGGAAAAGAAACGTGAGAAGGGGAGGATGGGGGAGCTTGGGGGAATGGGCTGATTGGAATAAAGGAAGGGTGGATATGGGTGAAGGGAAGCATATATCCTAATTAAGGGAGCCATCTTAGGGTTGGCAAGAGACTTGACTCTAGAGGGGCTCGCAGGTGTACAGGGAGATGTCCCCATTTAGTTCCTTGGGCAGCTGAGGAGAGGGAACCTGAATATCCATATCCTATAGCCATACTGATGAATATCTTGCATATCACCATAGAACCTTTATCTGGCGATGGATGGAGTTAGAGGCAGAGACCCCCATTGGAGCACCGGACTGAGCTCCCAAGGCCCAAATGAGGAGCAGAAGGAGGCAGAACATGAGCAAGGAAGTCAGGACCGCGATGGGTGCACCCACCCACTGAGACAGTGGGGCTGATCTATTGGGAGCTCACCAAGGCCAGCTGGACTGGGGTTGAAAAAACATGGGATAAATCTGGACTCTCTGAACATGGCGAACAATGAGGGCTGATGAGAAGCCAAGGACAATGGCACTGGGTTTTCACCCTACTGCATGAAATGGCTTTGTGGGAACCTAGCCTGTTTGGATGCTTACTGTCCTAGACCTGGCTGGAGAGGGGTGGATCCTGGACTTCCCACAGGGCAGCGAACCCTGACTGCTCTTTGGACTGGAGAGGGAGGGGGAAAGGAAGGTTGGGAGGGATAGAAGAGTGGGGAGAGGGGAAGAAGTGGGGAGAGGGGGACAGAAATGGGAGGCGGGGAGGAGGCAGAAATATTTTAGTCAGAGGCAGGCCGATCTCTGTGAGTTCGAGGCCAGCCTGATCTACAAGAGATAGGTTCGGGACAGGCTCCATAGCCACAGAGAAACCCTGTCTCAAAAAACCAAAAATAAAATAAAATAAAATAAAATAAAAAAAACTTCATTAAAATACTGGCAAATCAAATCCAAGAACACATCAAAAAGATATACATTATGATCAAGTAGGCTTCATCCCAAATATGCAGGGCTGGTTCAACATATGCAAATCTATCAATGTAATCCATTATATAAATAAACTGAAAGAAAAAAACCATATGATCGTTTCATTAGATGCTGAAAAAGCATTTGACAAAATTCAACACCCCTTTATTATAAAGGTCTTGGAGAGATTAGGGATACAAGGATCACATCTAAATATAATAAAAACAATATACAGCAAGCCAACAGCTAATATCAAGTTAAATGAAGAGAAACTTATAGCCATTCCACTATAATCAGGAACAAGACAAGGCTGTCCACTCTCACATCTCTCTTCAACATAGTGGTTGAAGTTCTAGCAATAGCAATAAGACAACATAAGGAGATCAAGGGGATTCAAATAGGAAAAGAAGAAGTTAAACTTTAGTTATTTGCAGATGATACGATAGTGTACATCAGTGACCCTAAAAACTCTATCAAAAAACTCCTACAGCTGATAAATACCTTCATGATGTGGCAGGATACAAGATAAACTCAACGAAATCAGTAGCCCTCCTATACACAAAAGAAAGTGAAACAGAGAGGGAAATTAGAGAAACTTCACTTTCACAATAGCCACAAATAGCATAAAGTATCTTGGAGTAGTAACACTAATCAAGGAAGTGAAAGATATATTTGACAAGAACTTTGAGTTTTTGAAGAAAGAATTTGAAGAAGACACTAGAAAATGTAAGAATCTCCCTTGCTCTTAGATTGGGAGGATCAACATAGTAAAAAATGGCAATTCTACCAAAGGCAATCTATAAATTCAATGCAATTCCCATCAGAATCCCAATAAAATTCTTCACAGACTTTAGAGAACAATAATCAACTTTATGAAAAAAACAAAAGACCCAGGATAGCCAAAACAATCCAATACAATAAAGGAACTTCCAAAGGCAAAACCATATCTGATTTCAAACTATTACAGAGCTAGTGTAAAAAAAATAGCTTGGCATTGGCATAAAACAGAGACGTCAACCAATGGAATCGAATTAAAGACCCGGATATTAAGTCACAAACCTATGAACACCCTATTTTTGACAAAGGAGCTAAAATTATACATTGGAAGAAAGAAAACATCTTCAACAAATGGTACTAGCATAACTGGATGTCAACCTGTAGAAGAATGAAAATATCCATATCTATCATCATGCACAAAACTCAAGTCCAAATGGATCAAAGACCTCAACATAAATTTGACCACAATGAACCTGATAGAAGAGAAGGTGGGAAATAACCTGCAACACATGGGCACAGGAGATGACCTCCTACGTATAACCCCAGTAGCATAGACAATGAGAGCAACAATGAATAAATGGGATGTCCTGAAACTGAGAAGCTTCTGTAAAGCAAAGGACACTGTCATTAAGACAAAAAAGCATCCTACTGAAAGGGAAAAGATCTTCACCAACCCCATATTAAAAAAAGGTCTGTCTCCAAAATATTTAAAGAACTCAAGGAATCAGACATTAAAATTCTAATTAACCCAATTAAAAAATGTGGTCATAGTTCTTAGAGAAGAACCTAGTACATTGTTTTGCTAACTGGACATATTGGTAAATATATTTTAAATATTTACATTTGAACACATAGTTAGTTCTCATCTCAGCCTTTGTTGGATAGTTTCTTTTGCAGTGGAGCAACACTTAATTCTGTGAAACATAACTTTTCAATTTCCAGTGTATGTGTTCTGGTCTAGTGGGCATCTATATCAATTCCTCCATGCCAAAAGAATACCTCAGTAGAGAGGGTGGAAAATATGTAAGACCCAGAGAAAGAGGAAGAGTTCTATGCTGTAGAATCCGATGGCAATGTGAGCAGACCAACAGCAGATCCTTATTTTCATCACATTTGACTTGACAAATGTTATTTCTTTGCTTTGAGTACCCACTCGTTCTTCTCCAGTGAGATCAATCAGAAGGTTCTAAGAATGTGATGGAAGATAGCCCATAACACACAATCTTTTCCCAGAATCCTACAGGTGTCATAAGCTGGGACATCTGAAATTCAGATCAAGGATCTTTGACTCAGATATCACTGCAGAGACCACAAAGCTTGTTTGCAAGTGAATCAGTGTAAGTAAGTACCCTGTGGAGGAAGCCATGGATCTAGAAATGCATCTAGATGATGAAACTAAAATCCGGCAAGCTTTTAAAATGTGTTTAAATACCTTGGTAGGGGTAGGGTATTTTATTTTGGCCAAAACCAAATTGACTATACACCAGGAATCTCACAAGACCAGAATAGACCCTAAGACATAGAAACTACATTTTGATTTGACAGCATTTTCAGAAAGGGACTTGAGGCTCAGGAACACCTTAAGCAGTGTGTTAGCCAGGAACCTCCTGTAGGCTCCCGAATCTCAGCTGCTATCTTTAGTTGTATTGTTTCTATAGTCTGATTACCAGAGCATAGCCAGGGTCAATGATGAAATTGATGTTCATGTTTTATGTGAGGATGATGTAGAGAGTGGATCAAATCAAGGTTAATGGTTTATAGGTCTTACCTATAAACCATGATCTGTTGGTTCTTGCCAAAATCCTAAATTCTGCTCTAACTGGAGAATTAAATGAAGCTCTATTGTGAATCAAAGGACTTCCCCCCATTCCCATTGATCCTTGAGTCTCTTCAAGATTCATCCTGGTGCCTGCAGACCAGCCAGGACTGCCCTGTGTGATGAATGGTATCCACCTTGTTCAAATGAGTTTGCAAATTACATAGAAAAATAAACATTACAGTGGAAACAGGACTTCAGAAATACTCAGATGCATTATAGATTAGTACAGAGTAAATTCTAGAAGAGTGCAATGAGAAACATGTCTATATTAAAATGAATGCCTCACATCCAAACTCTTATATGTCCTTATAAATAACCCTTAAAACTGACCATTATGGAAATCTGGAAATGGTGAAATGGGTAGGATCTGCAAAAGAAGAGAGAATTTAAATGATTATCAGAATATATTGTATTGAAAAATTTTCAAGACAATAAATCCTTTAATTATCGACAACAATGCATTTGATGCCAGGGCACGGTGAAATATAGTCTTAATAAATTCAATAGAGAGACAGAAGCAATAAAATCTCTCATAGCTAGAGACCTAGATGACCCTGTTAAAAAATTTAAAAAGTCGTCCCTTCTATCAGTGAATGTGAGAGTGTTTCTGTCTGTGGGTGTGTATGATGGGTATGGGACTGTATCTGAAAGGGGTACACTCATCCATTGCTGATGGGAATGCAAACTTGTGCAACCATTTTGGAATTCAGTGTGGCAGTTTCTCAGGAAATTCGGGATCAACGTACCCCAGGACCCAGCAATACCACTCTTGGAAATATACCCAAGACATTCCCTATCATATTACAAAAGCATTTATTCAACTATGTTCATAGCAGCATTATTTGTAATAGCCAGAACCTGGAAACAACCTAGATGTCCTTCAATGGAAGAATGGATGAAGAAAATGTGGAATATATACATATAAGAATACTACTCAGATGTAAAAAACAATGGCATGCTAATGGATGGAAATAGAAAACATTATCCTGAGTGAGATTACCCAGACCTAAAAAGATGAACATGGGATGTACTCACTCATAATTAGTTTCTAGCCATAAATAAAGGACATTGAGTCTATAATTTGTGATCCTAAAGAAGCTAAATAAGAAGGTTAACCCAAAGAAAAACATATAGTTATCCTCCTGGATATGGGAAGTAGACAAGAATGTTGGGCAAAAAAATTGGGATCTTGGGGGTGGGGTGGGATGGGGGTAAGGGTATATTACAATTCTTTACTCAATGTATAGTGATAATATCCAGGGCTCAAGAGTTGGCTCAGTCGTAAGATGCCTGCCATCCAGTATTAGTATCTTAGCTTGATTCACAAGACTTAGCTTAGAAGCTGGATGTAATGGTTTATCCTATATTCCCAGCACTAAAGGGGGTTGTGACTAGAGGTTCTCTAAAACTTGCCATCCCAAGAATCCATCTGCACATTTGTGCTCCAGGTTCATTGTGATAGCCTCTCTCTAAAATAAGATAGAAATGAACAATAAACACACTCAATCTCTACTCTAGCCTTCAGACACACGTGCAAACCATACATAATGCACACACAGTCTAGACAGGTTTTCAAGCCATCCAAACATTGTCCTTACCCTGCATGGGACTCATGGTTTATAGTTATTTAGAAATGTGTCATGGAAGTTGGAAGTTGCAGACCTTGAATGAACTACTTGCTAAGGAAATCAAGGGATTAACTCCTGTAGACTTGTTCCTTCTCCACAAATTCACAACTGCACTACATATTCTTGGCACATTTTTGTTGTCCTGGATTTACTATATAGACCAAGCTGATATTGAACTTTGAAGGATTTTCTAGCCACTGGCCCAATGTAACTGGATTAAATGAATGCATCACTATTCCTGACATTCACATGAAGAGTCTTAAAAATTAATTATTTATTTTTTTGAAAATACTTTCACTCAATATGTTCTGATTACTATTACCCTCCTCCATTCCTTCCCAGGTCCTTCCTTTCTCTCATATTGCCCATTGCACAACTGGAAGAATTTTTAGGACATTAAAGAGATTTTCTTTATTTTTATCTAGGAAATAATTGGTTTAAAAATCCATAAATACCAAAATATTTCTCATTTAAAATTATTATATATTTATTTGTTTTATAGATTACAATATTATTTTTAACATCTGCAATGTATAATGATAATATCCAGTTCTAAGTAGATGGGTAGGGAGTAAGTTGCCTGATTCCTAATATGAGTATCTCAGTTTGATTCTCAGTACTTAACTAGTTACCTGGCTATGATGGTTTATCCTTATATTCCAATAACTAGGTAGATTGTGACGGGAGGCACTTTGGGACTTATATCTAAACACTCTATCTAAACATGTGAGCTCCAGTTTCAGTGTGAGAACCTGAATCAAAAAATAAGTTAAAGAGCAGTTGAGGAAGACTCTTCTAATCAAGATGTGACTTCCACAGTCATATGCAAACATACACATATGCAGATACGGTATCAGCAATGAGCATTTTCATTCATTCAAAGATTTCCTTTTTTAAGGGATTGAACTCATAGTTGTAGATGTTTAGAGCTATCTCAGGGAGAGGAGGGGGAAGAAGGGAAAAGGGGAAGGAAGAAATTGTATCTCCAACTGGTGCCTCCTATCCAGAGTCTGGACCACACGAAATGATGGCATCATCATCTACTGTGAAGAAAGAGAAATAAGAGCAGTGTGTCTGCCCCACACTGAAATGAGAAATTCAGAATCTTCTGAGCTATGTTCAGTCTCTGGTGTTCAGAGATTAACTGGGAATATTAGGCAGGAAGAGGAACTGGTATGTCTGCAGAGGCTGGTTCAGGGAAAGAAGGCCCAGAACCTGAAGCCAAACCCCCAATCCCAGTCCCACAGGACACATGACCTGGGCTCCGTTGTCCAAGGATGTTGTGGTATCCTATGTAATGTAATATTATGAGAAAATAAGCATCTCCTAAGTAAACACACAGCACTCAGATAGAAACCCAGAAACAAAGCAGAGAACAACCTGCACAATTATAGGCAAACAAGTAAAGAGAGATAGATGTGTTTTAGCAACTTGTGTTGCTTGAAAATGTTCTGCTTCTATCTGTCATTCAGCAATACTTAAATATATCAACATCATGCTTGTTTATAATGTTCTGTGATTATATCCATTCAGAGGGCTGACAGTGATCTGTAAGTTTTTTCCCCTTTAAATAAATACCACCCTATTAATCATAATTCCAAACTGGTGTGGCATTGTTTATGACTTACGCCTTCAGGTTTTAATATCCATGTCTCTGGTTATTAGAGATGCTGGCCTATGCAATGTCTTCCACCTACATGAATTTGTCAAGCTGAAGGAGTGCAATCAGAGGATCGAGGGCAGGAAGTTGTCTGCCCATGAGAACATTGCTTTTCACAAATGTGTTCCCTGAACTTGTTTTACCTTGTGGACCCAATTCTCAGAGAAACAAATGGAATGAGTTTTTTGTGAGAAGAAAAATGATATCTTGAAAGAAATAAATAGTGTTCTAACCTTTAACAAGGAGAATTGATGGTACAAACACATTATTTATTAATCGAAACTTAGGCTATATATTTAAAATATTATGATTTGAATCAAGGATTCATACATACTACACAAAAACTTAGCCATTTGTTATAACTCCCAGAACTTGATGAATTTATGAAGAAATACTTAATTTTTAATTGTGTATATACACTCTGTGTGGGTAGTGTAGTTGTCATAGAGACAAACAGAGGGTACAGGGTTCTCTGTACCCACAGATATTTTTGAGCTGCCCTGAGTCTAGGCTTAATACTTTTCAGGTTATTTTTCTTTGTCAGAATCTGATACAATTCACTAAATATAATCACTCCTGCCCTGCTCGATGATTTTCTTCTAGGCAGAGTGCTTTCTGAATTTACAAGATAAAAGAACCATGAAAATACTTTTGTAGCTCAATATCTTGCCACAGAAGAACAACTGAATAGAATCTAACTCTGAGCTTTGAGCTCCATGACTGCAAATGATTGGATTTGTCAGCCAAGAAGTTGTCCTATTTAAGGGATGTGTAGATAGCATTTTCACTCATTGGGCAACCAGTCAAGTCAGGTGGCAAATTTCAGGCCCAGTTCTAGAACCTGTGTCAAATATATACTGCATATTAATAGAGGAATACATCATATGTCATCACGTGCAGAAAGGGAGGGAGGGAGAAAGGGAGGAAGGGAGGAGGCAAAGGGAGGAAGAGCAGTGCCAGAAGGAGAAAGTGAGGGAGAGTAAAAGAGAGAGTAAAAGAAGCAAAGGGCAAAATTAGTATGATAAACAAACAGAAGAGCATGTCACAATGTAAAATAGATATTTGAATAAAACTGTGAACACTTCAAAGATTACTGTAGAGAGAATCTTAGAATGTGATATGGAGATGCAGCCCAGACCCAGAGGAGTCCATCCCTTTATGCCTCTCTGATCAGGATCCTCTGTGGCCCAGAGCTCTGTGTGCTGTCTGCGCCACCTGCTGGTCCTGAGCACTTTGCATGGAGGTTTGTGGCTGAGTTTACAGTAGCTTTTACTCACTGTGTCTCTTGCACAGTAATATGTGGCTGTGTCCTCTGACTTCAAACTGCCCATTTCCAGGTATAGGGTGTTCTTGGAATTGTCTCTGGAAATGGTGAATCGGCCCTTCACAGCGTCGGCATAGTAGATGCTATTACTATTATAAATAGATGCAACCCACTCCAGGGACTTCCCTGGAGCCTGGCGGACCCAGCTCATCCAGTGGTTACTGAAGGTGAATCCAGAGGCCAAACAGGAGAGTTTCAGGGACTTTTCAGGTTGCACCAAACCTCCTCCTGACTCCACAAGCTGAACCTCAAACTGGACACCTGCAAACAGAGATTCCTGATTAGAAAACTGTCACAGAATCCAATTTTCTTCTTCCTCATGTACACAAATACACACAGCATACGATATCTATAAATTACCTTTTAAAACAATGACAAGGAAAAGCCAATTGAGTCCCAAGTTCATGGTGAATGGTCTCTGATCAGTGGTGATCACTAATGGGAGGACCAGGTAAATTCAGCTCTGGACTCCTCTGTCTGAGCTGCAGGGTCAGGGCAGTGCTGGTTTTCATTGGAACAGAGAACCCTCATTTGCATGTCTTTCTGCTCTAGTTGCTCTAGAGTTGGAGCCTTGAGGGAAGGCAGTGCTCATAACAGATATAAGGCATCAAAATCTACGATGCTAGTTATAGAAATTGACATAGAATTGTAGTTTTGGATTCATGTTTTCCTTGTGAAAATTTCACAACACTTCAGTTACTTCCTTTATGTGCATGTGCACAGAACATGCTGATATATACTATCAGGTCTCCTTTGTACACATATGAAATTAAATGTGCCAAACACAGGCTTGTTTCTACACAGGAGCTCAAGTTTTCCTACTTTCTGGCCTGGAAATGGATTCTCCCTGATGTGGCTCTTTGACAAGGTCACAACATTTAGATGCTGTTAGCATAACTCACTCTTTTGCACGAACACTTGGGGATTTTCTGAATTTTACTTATTTTTGAGACCATGCTGTCCTCATGCTATAGAAGAATTGGAAGTGAGATATCCCTTGTCACTCTTTCTCTCCACTGCTTTGCACTTGCTAAGGAGACCTATTTCCATTAGCATCAAATGCACTTTTTTTTTACATTCTGAAAGTCTCTCTCTGATTCCTTTAAACTCTCCACTCCACTGTTATCTTCTGTCATCATTACCCCAGAAAACTCATGACTGTCTTTATTTTGTGTTATAATAGTTTTCATTTACCTAATAATATAATTATCAAATTGAGATTTTGATTAAGTTTTAGGATGAACTTTTTATTTAACCATTTGTCTGGTTTCCATCCTATTCATCAACTTTCCATCATCACTGTCAGTTTTTTTCTTTAACAGCACCAACATTACCCTGTGCTTCATTCTCCTTGTCTCTCACTTAAGATGTCTTCCTTTCCTAGGGTTCCCCTTCTACTTACATGTTCCATAAAGCAGATGCCAGAACACCTAACACAACAAATCTAGGTTCTGGATATGAAAGAATCAGGTAGTCTGTGTTCTTCTCAATATTTGTTATAGTTTATGACATAACACTTTCCAATTCCAATTACATTCTTCCATGTCTCAGAGAACACTGAGGAGAGGGAGTGGAAAGAATGTAAGAGGCTGAGCATAAAGAAGAGCGCTGTTAATTGCTGAATTCTGGATTTGACCTGGCTCTCACATCATGAACTTATAATGGCATTGTTTTCTGTGTAAGCATACCTAAGAACAAGCCAGTCAAAACCATTGTGTGGATTATTTCCAGGCCTTCCTTCTTATTGATAATCTGTTGAATATAGACCTTTCCTGAAAACAGAGACACTTTCTTTTTGAGAATGTGATCATTAGTAGGTTTCGTATACTACAGTGCCTGGCTACACACGCATACACACATGGGCAGCATCAACTTGGCTTACAGAGGTCAATAAGTTGGGAAACACTTATTTTGGAGATGATTAGGGGTAGCTGAAAGTGAAATAGGGTGCACATGTGATTATATTTAATTGTATATATCTTGGGTATACAATTCCTCAAAATGAAGAAAGACTAGTACCCATAAAATAGATGAATTGTTTTAAAAGTAAATCCCCAAAGAAAATTCTTAAGGAAGATATTACTAAATATGAAAGAAAGGGGTAAGCAAGGCAACCTTTAGAAATATAAATGGTGATGAAGGTTTACCCACATTTTATTTCGAAACACACTAAAGTACGTTGATAATAAATCCAGCATGGCAGCAGCTCAGATGCTGACATATGGGGTCTAGGAGAGGAGTTACAGACTTGAGGTGGTTGATGGTGCTTGTGGAGGTGCCCAGGGAATAGTAAGGATTCGCAAGGTAAATACAGGGGTTCTCTTAGGCATACATGGGTCATCTGTCAGGTAGAAAGCAGGGCACTGTGCAATTTGCGTGTGGGTGAATCAGTAGAACATGTCCAGGATAATAGAAGGGGTGACAGCTGCATTTTGAGAAGAGATCAGAGGTCAAGAAGAGAGCAAATTTACTACTTGGATTTTCTAGCCAGGTTGTGCAACTGATGGATCCCTGTACAGTGAAGACATTAACTTTAGGTGACAGAGAGATGATGGAAAAAGAAACACAGAACACCGGGGTACTGGCAAATAGGACTTTGTGAGATCCCTTAGGGAAGATGTTATGGGAGTGATAGGTGCAAGATAGGTCATTATATTGGTGTGTTGACTTAGTGATACAAACGATGAGCACTGCTGATTTTATTCAGTGTTCCTCTACTGCCATTGTTCCTTTCTCATTAGCATTAAGAAAATTCAAGGTTAATAAAGCTTTATGCAATCTATTTCCTGGGATATTTTCCACTCCTTTCTGTTTATTGAACATATCCTTTAGAGTTCAATTTGAGCTCTCTATAACTGCCTGACATGTAGGATTATTTGGTATACCTGTAATATGCTTTATATTATGATAAGCAAAAAAAAACTGTTTCATTTTCTTAGAGACATATGCTGGACCATTATTTGTCTTTATTTGTACAGGTATACCCTTGTTGGCCATAACTTCTAATAAATGTGTGATTACTGAATCAGCCTTTTCCAAGTCAAGGCAATTGCCCTTTGAAAACCTGAGTTCATGTCTATGGTGTGGTGTACATATTTTAATTTACCAAATTATTTAAAGTGGAACACATCCATCTGCCAGATTTCATTTTTAACATTCATTGTATGCAGGATCCATTCATCCATTGGTGCTGATCTGACCTTTAAAGCCCAAGTATCTTTTTGCATTCTAAGTTGATATTTTTTTTCAATAAATACTCACGTAGTTTCTGGGTCTGTTGCTCCTTTTTGTACACTCTGAACTGTATTGTAAAAAGTCAATAAAGGGTTCTCTCTGGCCCTGTGTAACCCTGGAATGTGATTCAATTCTTTTTACTATTTCTGAATCCTGTTCCAAGCATTTAAAGCTGTTGTGTGGCATATTTACATATAGAGTTTGGTCCTGTAGGTTTGAGTTTTAGCCCCTGGCAAGAGTTTCATCTTGGGCAGCCTCAAACCCTTTTGCTTTTAATTATTGTTCAAAATGTTTGCCCCTTTCCCCCAGTGACACTTGCATAGCAGCTACAGTCTGTTTTTGAGGACCACTGAAATTAATTAAAGCCAATCGTGTGGAGAGGCCTTATGGCGTGAGGCCCACATTTTCAAAATTTTCTTAACAAGGTGATGGCTAAAAGCCATAAGATACTATTGCTTATTTAATTTCCTTTAGAAGGCTAGTACCTATAGGTTGCTACTTATTTTCTTTGAATACTCTAGGGTATTTAGTACCAGATGGCTTTTCAGAGATTACCAGATATGTAGCTAAAACTCTGGGTAAGTCATATTGAACTCTGGCATGTCCTGGTGAGGCAAAATCCTATTCTTGTATCTTTTCTCCCTTCTCTTCAGTTCTGATAATTTCCTCAATTGTTTCAAATCTTTTTAACACTGCCTTTTGTAAAGTCTGAATCTCCTGTCCTGTGTAAAGTTCTAGTGTCCTCATTTATTCATTTAGGTTCTTGTCCTTATTCTGCACATATAATTCCAAGGTATAAAATTTTTCCAGTAAAGATAATGTCTCATTCTTGTACATTATATGAATGGTGGGCATATTACCTTCCTGGAGAGATTCCACATCCATTAACCTTTATCCATCATAACTTTTTAACAGATTCCAATTGTTAAATTCAACATCATGAATTTTTTTCAGATAATTTCTCAACACCTTGTGACATGGATTGAATTTTTTCTTTCAAATTGGTGTTATCCTTTTCATTGGTATTAAGTTTTTCAGATAGCTCTTCATTATTATTCTGTAAAGACTATATCATATCTAAAAGTGCCTCATTCTTGACTCTATTAACAAACCATTTCCTTAAGGAAAAAATATGAAAAAATATTAATTCCCCAAATCAAATAAATGGATGTATGAGGACAATCACACAAGCCTTGTAGAATACCATCTATAGCATGAGCAAAATGGTTATTAAATTCCTGAATATTAAGATTGTCATCATATAACTCTCAATTCTGTTAATTTACTTACCTTCCTTAGAAAGTTTCAGTAAATTGTGGTAGGTATAATAATGTTTGTTGGTCAGCAGATGTTATGGTTGCAGCCACATAGTGGAGAGTCATGGAGGAGTGATGACAGCAGGGATGGGTGAACATGCCTGCTTTGGCTCCTGACATAGTTGTCTACTTAGATACTGACAAATACGCTTTGTTTAAAATATTAAGAGCAGCTATTAAAAACAATTAAAGTGATTCCATACACAAAGAAAGTTTTTTGGTGGCCTGAATAAGACAGATACCCAAAATTTTCTATCAGTCATAAGCCACAATGTGTGCATCTGACCAATGTAACACTGGGTGGATCACAATGTGAAAAAGTGGCATGCTGCAGCAGGGAATTTCGAGGAGCGAGGCAGTGGCAGGTAGGCTGCAGGTAAGAAATGTGCCTGGGCTGGCAAACCAGGAGTGTGGTGGGGGTTCCAATAAATATTCCCACATGAGTGCCAGAAGAAAAGGAACATGCCAGATGAAGGGAAATGCACAAGATGAAGTAATCCTACATTGCTCCAAATAAGATGCAATAAGGGTTTCTTTAATTAATGGAGAACTCAAAGATCACAATGAGGAACAGGAATGGAATCCAACATCCAGGTGTGGCAAGAAGGGAAAGGAAGAGTGTGTGGGAGGGCCTGCATTTTTTTTTACCCAAGGCCATTTCTAACCAGGTCCAACCTCTCAAAGGCTATTCTCTTAAGGAAGTTCCCAATC